GACATGACATACGCGTTAATATGGACGCCAGAGGGGAGTGTAACGTTTGAAATAATAACAAAAGTGCTAATGATCATATGACCTAATTTCATTTAATATACTTTTTTTAATACATATCATGATTAAATAATATAACGCATTATTTATGTAATTGTATTTTACATAATTATATATGGTTTAATGGACATTTTAAATTTTAATGAAAGTTTGAACTAATATTCAATGTTTAAAATCTATGAGATACAATTAATTTAATTTAGAAATGTCTACTTTGTTAGGTTTGAACAGCGGTAACCATTACCGCCGACTTATGTATATTGTTGGTGCATCATTTGGGTTAGATTAGGTTAGAGTTTCATCCCAGGAGTTGGCGGACCTCCGTGCGGCCTGTGTACGTGCCCGGAGGTCCCTCACCCGTAGTCGGCGACGTCACCGCGGGGTCGGTGAGGAGGTGGACCGGCTTCATGAGGAGTACCGAGAAGCTCGGAAAACTCTGAGGCTGGCCATCTGCCGCGCCAAGGATGCGTGTAGAGAGGAGATGCTGGAGAGTCTCGAGCGTGACCCCTGGGGTCGCCCTTATCGTGCGGTGCGTCAAAAGCTCCGCACGTCGGGCCCCCCCCCTTACGGAGACTCTCCAGCCCAGCTTCCTGCAGGAAGTGGTCGAGGGCCTATTCCCGCAGCGGGCGGAGCACACACCCCCGTCGATGGCTGCATCAGCCGGAGACGACGGGGGCAGCGAGGCTGAGGTTCCGCCCGTCAGGGAATCGGAGTTGGGGGCGGCTGTTCTACGGATTAGATCCAAGAACACTGCCCCCGGGCCGGACGGGGTTCCAGCCCGAGTGATGGCCCGAGCCCTCGACTACATGTCGGACCACCTCAGGGAAGTGTTGGACGCTAGCCTGGCGTCCGGACGCTTCCCTGAGCGCTGGAAGTGCGGGAAGCTGGTCCTGCTGAGGAAGCCGGGACGGCCTACCGATTCGATCGCGGCCTATAGGCCTATCGTGTTGCTGGACGAGGCGGGTAAACTTTTCGAGAGGGTGCTCTCTGCCCGCATCGTCCGGCACCTCTGCGAGGTTGGCCCCGATCTGTCGGACGCCCAATTCGGTTTCCGAGAGGGGCGTTCGACGATCGATGCCGTGATGCGCCTTAGGGCCGTGACCGAGGAGGCCGTGAGCTGCGGCGGAGTGGTGTTGGCGGTGTCCTTGGACATCGCCAACGCCTTCAATAGTCTGCCATTCAGCTGCATCAGGGAAGCGCTCCGCTACCACGGAGTGCCGGAGTACCTGAGGCGGCTGGTGGCAGACTATCTTGAGGAGCGAACCGTCATGTACGAGGACCGAGATGGCGTCTTGAGACGCAGGGCCATGTCGTGCGATGTTCCGCAGGGGTCTGTCCTAGGACCTCTCCTGTGGAACATCGGGTACGACTGGGCCCTACGAGGGCGTCTCCCCCCCGGGCTGGGTGTAATCTGCTACGCGGATGACACCTTGCTCACGGCCCGGGGGGCTAACTTCCAGGAGGCGGCGCGCCTGGCCGCCACGGGAGTCTCCCTGGTGGTCGGGCGCATTGAGGCGTTGGGTTTGCGGGTGGCCCTGGATAAGACGGAGGCCCTATTATTTCATGGGCCCCGTCGTGGTCCGCCCGCCGGCGCCTCAATCGAGGTCGGCTCGGTCCTCGTACCGGTCCGGGCCCAGATGAGGTACCTGGGTCTGGTCCTAGACGGTAGGTGGCTCTTCGACGAGCACTTCCGACAGCTTGGTCCGAAGCTGGTGGACACTGCCTCCGCCCTAGGGCGACTTTTGCCCAATTTGGGCGGGGCCAGTGTTCCCACGAGGCGGCTGTACGCAGGGGTTGTCCGGTCCATGGCGCTGTATGGTGCACCGGTGTGGGTGGCGGCTCTGACTGCCCCGAATAGGGCGCGCCTCTGGCGCTCCCAGAGGATATTGGCGGTCAGAGCCATACGCGGATACCGCACGGTGTCCACCGAGGCGGCCTGTGCCTTGGCCGGAACACCCCCGTGGGATTTGGAGGCGGAAGTGCTCGCCGAAGTTTATCGGCGAGTGGCTGACTTCCGGGCGGAGAGCGGATTTCGCCCTCCGCCCGAAGACGTGCGCGAGTGGCGCGAAGCCGCTCGCCGAGCCACCATGGTGAGATGGTCGTTCCGGCTGGAGACTCCACGCGCTGGCTTCGCCGCCGTGGAGGCTCTCCAGCCGGTCATCGCCGAGTGGGCAGGGCGGCAGCACGGGACCCTTTCCTTCCGGCTGACGCAGGTGCTTTCCGGGCACGGTTGCTTCGGAAAGTACCTGTACTCGGTCGCTAGGAGGGAATCGAGTCCCGCCTGCCACCACTGCGACTGCAGTGAGGATTCGGCCCAGCACACGCTGGCGGTTTGCCCCGCATGGGCGACGCAGCGCCGGGCCCTCACTGCAGTCATCGGAGCAGATCTCTCGCTACCGGCCGTAATTCGCTCCATGGCCGGTAGCGACAGTTGTTTTACCGCGGTCGCAACCTTCTGCGAGGAGGTAATCTTGCAGAAGGAGGCGGCGGAGAAGGCCCGGGAGGACGACCTCCACTCGGACCTGATCCGCCGCCGGCGAACCGGGCGGCGGAGGCGCGCTTACCTGCGCCTCATGCCGCCCTGAGTGTGGCCGCGGGTGGACGGGATGGGTTCTCCCCTCCACCCGCATTAGTTGGCCAGCCGCGAGGGGGCGGCGTCCGCGTGTGCCGGAAGAAAAGAGAGGAAAGATCAGAGACGGAGCCCGCACCAGGAGCGGGCCGGCGCTGGGAGGGGTCCAGAAGGAGATAGCTACCTGGACCCCTCCTAAACTGGAAGCGCAAAGAGGGCACACCGTGTGGTTTTAGTCGGTTCGAGTCCGACACACCGCCCCGCCGAACGAGAGCCCCGGCGGGGTGACGGTCCGAGGGGATTTCCACACGTAAAAAAAAAAAAAAAAAAAAAAAAGGTTAGAGTTTCATGATATTCACTCTTTCATTACATAATTTTGGCTAAAAATTAGTAAATATAAAAATCAGGTCAAATTATCGTATATAAAAATAGCGTTATACAAATTGAAAGTTATATGAAATGAACGTTAAACAGAATGCTGTTACAGCAAATGACGCGCAAATGAAGGTTATATGAAATGAACGTTAAACAGAATGCTGTTACAGCAAATGAAGGTTATATGAAATATAGCATTGTATCATATGAAATTAGGTTATTATATCAAATGTTTTTACATCATATGAAAACTATATGATATGAACGTCTTTCAAGTGATATTATACTATGTGTTATTATGCCAAATTTTACACACCCACCCCAGAGACAGTATGGTATACTATAAGATTATATTATATACATATATATTATATATATATTATTTGGACGCGTTGTCAGGTTTTGTATAAATAACCATGTAAACAAACTTATTTAATTGTAAGGAAACGTGAAAGCCTTTTAATTGCATCGTAGAAAAAAATGAACACACCGATAAATAGGAGATACGAGTAGACCCCAAAGAGAGGTGGTTTAACAAAACTTTTTGCTCTCTGTTATAACAAAGGTAATTCCATGCGGACATTCAACTGGGACCTGTCCGCTAGACTGCTGTGTTGCATTTTCGGGTCTTTACCCCGCTTTCATTACTAAATTTGTCTAACACCTAACAAAATATGCATATGAAAACCTTGAATGCTTTGATATTGAGTTCTTATGATCGCATAATTATTTGCGGGGCTTGTGGCTAAGTAGTAACCTAGTAGGTTAACACATTGCAAGTTAAGCAATCCTACCACGGTCAGTCTATGGATGGGTGACTCTCTGGGGAGCTCTGTGATATTTTTGAAGATTTAAACTTTTTCATTATCGTTAATTAGATAAAGAGTGTGGCAGCGGCAGAGATTTGCCTTTACCCTCAGATTTTATAATCCGTCTTTAGCCTTTACCTATTTCAGGTATCCGTTTTAAGGTACGTAAGTATAACAAAGTGTAATGAGTTAAAAGGGTAAGGTTTAAAATATTACACTTGTTTTATCCCCATTTTTAACATACTAAAAATCGAAATCGAATATCTAAGCATAATAGTGATCACATGGGCCGATTGTTTTTCATTCATTCATTTCATTTCATTCGAATCAGCACCTGCTGGTGGTGATACACTTGCATTTAATCAAATCTATTATACTACCACTATAATTGAACATGCGACGCTTAAAATAAGAAATGAAATGTCCTATGTAGCCGCGTTCCGATCGCAGTCAAGCAGTCGAGGGCAGTTTGTAAGCCAATAACACAATAACCAAACAAAGATTGCGTTGACAAATGATTTTAGTTTACGGCTTAACTTAACGCAGTATACTTCAACCCTATGTATATTTGGTATACGTAGCCTTCACGCTCTCAGTGCTATAGTACTTCCTTTGTGTGAATGACGTCCCTTGTGATACAGTTACATTGTTCCATTTTGAAGTAAGAAAAAAGTGTTAGTAATGACACTTTTTTTAAGTGGTTACGCTCATTTCTGCTGTAATTTATAATATATGTTATTTATATACTAGATTTAATGAAATGTAAGCTTAATGTACTAAAAGCTTTTCTCTATTTTAAGGCACACCTTCTATAGACTTTTTAGTTTATTACTTAAACAACAAAAGTATGTGTTTTACTCTGTAAAGTCTTACATTTCAACGTCCATAATATACATCTTTGTTTACTAGCTTTGAATCTGTTCAACGAACAACAGTCAACGTGTATTCCGTACTTCTCAAAGTCAGCCCAGCTGACAGCTTCCAGTACAATTTAATTAATCTAGGATACTATTGTCTGTATTATTTGAAACCCGAGAAGACATACATTGTACAAAATCAATCAAATTAATTGGTCAAACTTGAATGATTTCACAACAAAGCGCTTAAATTTTGCAAAAGGAAATTATTTAAAAAAAAGCTTTTATATGTATAGTTCATAAATATATAAAATATTTATTGATAGTTCTTACCTGTTTTAACAAGTTTGAAAGTCACTTGCTGCTGGTTTTTTAGTTGTTCATTGTGCGTTGGATGGTTAAGTTCGCGAAGTGCCATCTCTACCGAAGGCTGTTGTTGCATGTTGGCGGAGCGAGCTTGCTGCGCCTCCTTGGAACGGCTTAGCTTACGAAAGAAACTAACTTTCTTCGACTTGGAATTCGGCGACGAACCTGCGAAGTCAAAAAAGAAACGTAGTAGTTAAGGATATACTATAGAGATGTTAAAGAAGAAGAATCTCACACAGTTATATAAAATCTCATGGATGTGACTCGAGCCTAGTGAAGCGTTATGTTGTTATTATGCCAAGTAACCATGCTAAATGGATATGTAAGAGTTAGTTGATGACCACGCTTTCTCAAAACCCAAATCCCACTCTCATTCAGAACCTTCAAAAGAAGAGCGTTGTCGCGTTGGCGTCGAAGGCGTTGAGGTACGAGCGGAGGTTGGTGGCGTAGAGCTCGGTTCGGAATGAGGACGTGGCGGGAGATGGCTCAATGACGACTCATTTGGGGATGGAAAGTGTGCAGCCGAAAGATCCGACTGGCGATCTGGTTCAGGCGTTGTTACGCGAATATGTGCTCCGAATTGTGGTGAGTTCGCAACTTCAAAAAGTGCATCGAAGTTGCGATCAAATATGTTTTTTCTAGAGAATGCCGGAGTAGGCAAAGGAGCGGGTAATTCAAATTCATCAGGAGCAGGGGTTCTAACAATTTTTCCAAATTCATTGTCCTCATGGCGACCTAGCTTCTTAAGCAGCTTGGCTTTGGTGCGCTCGCGCAGCTTTGGACGTTCGAGCGACGGCGTCGGCGAGGCCGGCGCGCGCTCTGGTGGCTCCGGGGGCGCCGTTTTGAGATGTGTCTTGTCGCAAGTGAGGGTGGGGGCGCGGGGCGGGGAGAGCGCGCTGGATCGCGCTGGCGGCGGCGGCCCAAAGATAATGTCAAGCGTAGGCCGCTGCCGTGGCCGAGGCAGCGATTGCGATATGTATGTCTGGGTAACTACTTCATCCGCAGGATATATTACGTACATCCCTGGCAAGACCGCATCGCGCAGGCCCCTCGCGCCCTCCGAAGAGGTATACGCGTATCGATTTAGTTCTACTAAATTCTATTGTCGAGACAATCTATTTTGAAGCTCTTTCACTAATGGGACACAAAGATAAAATAAGAACAGTTTTCTTAACACAGGACTGGAATGTTTTCAAAATTTAAGTTGCCTTTTGGGAGCTACAAAGTAAGTCGAAGAACGAATAAGGAATGTTTTGTGGAAGGGATCTTGAGCCATACTAATAGAAAGGGTAGGAGATTTCTTCATGTAATGTCTGCCAATTCCGTACAACGAATCTTCAACCTAAACAAAAAATAAATATAGCTTGATACAAATAATTATACCAATACCAATTGTAATAAAAATGTATGAAGATAGTGTCAAAGGTATGCGGTCAAAAAAAAATAAAAAAGTGAATAAATGCTGCGTTTATAGTCAACATAGTAATATTTATACAAGTTGTAACTGTACTAATACGCAAAATTCAACTGTGTTGTAACTCTTAAATTACTTAGAAAAATTTAATTTTACGTTTAAGTGCTTTATAATTGTTAAGTTTTCACTTAACATGTAGGTATATTTCGATAATGGTTTTACATTAACTACAGAATGTTAAAATAATATTACCTAACCCAGATAATAAATACGAATGTGAATTAGCATGTTACACATCCATGCCTTCATACAGTCAACCTTTAGAAAACCAGCTACCGATAAGAACGTAGGCAACTTTTCATCGTGGAGAAAACTGTTTCCGGAGGATATCCCTGGCATGGCTATGCTGTAGCACAAATAGGCCTGCTAGACCGGAGTAATACCACGGCCTCACAAAAAACCGGTGTTAAGCTATTTTTTCGTTGCTTTCAACCGAGTATATGAGCTACCGCAGTCCCATTTTCTTTTTTTTTTTTTTTAAACGTGTGGAAATCCCCTCGGACCGTCACCCCACCGGGGTTTGCGGCGGGGTGGTGTGTCGGACTCGGACCGACTAAAACCACACGGTGTGCCACTCTGCGCCTGTAATAGGAGGGATCCGGGAACAGCTGTTATTAAGACATCCGTACCCCTCCTAGCGCCGGCCCGCTCCTGGTGCGGGCTCCGTCTCAAAATTTTTTTTTCTTTCCTCTCTTTAGGCGACGTCCGGCACACGCGGACGCCGCCCCCTCGCGGCTGGCCAAACTAATGCGGGTGGAGGGGAGACCCACCCCGTCCACCCGCGGCCACACTCAGGGCGGCATGAGGCGGTGATAGGCGCGCCTCCGCCGCCCGGTTCGCCGGCGGCGGATCGGGTCCGAGTGGAGGTCGTCCTCCCGGGCCTTCTCCGCCGCCTCCTTCTGCTACCGCAGTCCCAAACCCAACCTGCCCGGAAGGGGTTGGGGTTTAAAAGGCAGTAACACATTTGTGACTCTTGAGATGCAGCTGACCAGGGCCGGTCACTCCCCATCCGGTAGTCACTTACCATCAGGTGTGACCCGTCCACTCGTTTGTCTCCCTATACCATAAATAAAAAGATACTTAAATCAATTTACAAAATCTAAATTAACACGAACAAAGTAAATATGAAACAATATTGACAAAAATACCTTTAAAAAAGTTGAACCGACTTCAAATAATACCAACAAAGAGCACTAAAAATCTAGCAGCAATTGCGGTTGATTTGGTGTAATTTTTTAAGGAGTTCCGTTTGCTGTCTTCGAAATTCATCATCAGATCTATGTGAAGTTTAAATGGGACCATTTCGGAATAAACTCCTGTCGAGAAAAAAATATTTTGAAAATCTGTCTATACATGACGCAGGCATGCCATGAATTGACAATCTCCTCCTTTTTGAAGTCGGTTAAAAATTTGATACGTGCGATATTCTAATCCAAGCATTGTCATTATGATATCAAACGTGAAGTACTTCAGTACACATTGGATTAAAGTTATAATCACATCAAACACAGCTTACAGTGTAGGACCACATCTAATGAACTTTTGTTGTCACAGTAAACAATTAGGGCTGGTAGTTGGTCACGTCTACATGACTTTGTATAGTTTAGCTGCAGAGTTAAACGTGCTGATACAAAACAGGTCAAGTGTCGCCACAATGGCAGAGTGCTATCCAAGTAAGGGAAGGAGTAGCACTCAAACTTTTCACAAACGTGGCGATTCTATACAGTTCATTTAAATTTTCCTTTAGCTGCGCTAATAAGGGACTACTTCGTTGTGTTAATGAGATCAAATATGCGTGTCACTTTCATTCTAAAAATGTCTAACACATGAGTTTTTTCGTGTTATTATTTTACCTACCAACATAACTTTAGCTGACTAATTTTGCAAATTTTAAGTTTCAGTATCTTTCCCTAAGATACATAGGACTATTAACTGAACGGTATTCAGGTGTACGTACAATGACTTGATCCCTTTACGGTTTCCTCCTGTAAGTAGAGATAAAGTAGAACGCCGAGAGCATTCACCTAAAGTCCTAAAATTAGGTAAATAAAAAAAGGAAAAAAAGGAAATTTGTTGTTTAAACGTCTTTATTTATATTTAATAGCCTACGTTGTATGACTGAGAAGATCATGTTTGTGATATTAGACATGAAATAAAAAGATATGTTACCTAAAATTGCAGAATTCATTCACAGTACTAATTTACGATTCGATGCACTTTAAGATATCGGTATTATATAAGTAGCTTTTAAGCCTTTTCACTTCCACTTCTATATACTAACGCGATACATACAAATGAGATTCATGTACTCGACCTTTTTCAAGGATTTTGGTACTCTTAGTCTGTTTAGTACGTATTAGTGATCCTTGAAAGCCTTTTCCTGTTGACATTCTAACATTCTAATTTAGGCTATGTACGTTCAACGTCTTCATTATCGATGTCTTTTAGATATCCCAGTTCACTTTTTATAGGATACACAAACTTTCACAATCATGAATATATATTTAGTTGAACTCGAACAAATGAACTTGTAACTCGTATTTAACCAGTAGGTAATTGGTATTGGTATTGGTTGTGGGCTCCGATTTCCGCTTTTAGACTCGAGAGTGGTCTTTTATGCGTCCAGAAGAAGCGCAGAAACCTCCTGGGGCGTTCAGAGGCTTCTGTACCAGGTATGGCACTTGCCTATTGTGAGACCACTCCCTCGCATTCTTTAGGATTACGTGGGCGGTCGTTTCTTATGCTTTTAGGCATCCTCTGCAAAGAGGACTGTCCGTCGCATTAATGTTGAATAGTTATCGGTTCAGGGGCTAGGTGTCCTGTTATGGTTCCTGCAACTATTCGGATATCTAGTCTGCTAAAACCAATCAGTCTGCAAAGTAAGTCGTGGTGAGACTCTAGTCAGCACCAGTTTGGACTGTCTAAAGCTGGGTGAATTTTTCCACCTTCGGTTGTGCGCTTCACGAGTAAGCAGTCTAACCCAGGATCGAAGTTGGTTAAAAGGCAGTGGCAGGAGTGTGGTTGGGCGGCCGGGGTTACTGATCCCCTCCTTCATCTCATCTGCAGCGTCATTCCCGTGTGAATTACTATGCCCTTTAATCCATTGGAGGACCCCATTTGTTGTGGAAAACTACTCTAATGCTTGATGGCATTCGAAGACTATACCAGAGGTCATTGTATTGCCCTCCAGTGCCTTTAGAACGACCATGCTGTCTGATAGTATACGGATGTTGTAGTCCTTAATACCCTTTGACTTAGCCGTTGTGGCGGTGTAAGTTATTGCCACACATTCGCATTGGACTATGGAACTGTTTTGGCCTAACGCTAGTGATATGTTCATGTTTAGGGCTTGTGAGAAAACTCCGGCTCCAGTTCCTGACCCAGTCTTGGAACCGTCCGTGTAGATTCGGACTTCGTTTATGCCAGAGTGATCTCGGTCATTTTCTTGTGCCAGAATGTGATATCTCCTTGTGAAGATATGGTGTTATTTGATCCTGTCGCATGGGGCTGCTAATAGTGGCTCATATTCCACTGATTGATCAAATAATTTGGAGTGCGATCCCTCGCCTTTATGCCCCAGACCCAGGTGTCTGAGTCTAATGATCGCCATGGCTGCCTCCTGCTGTATGAACAAGTCCAGTGGGGGTAGACCAAGAGCTACCTCTAGTGCGGCAGTTGCAGTAGCTGTAATATCTGCAATCTATTGATGACGGTTCTTAACTCTGTTCTCTGCCACCAGACAACGGCACCGTACGTGATTATTGGTCGTATGACTGTTTTGTAGAGCCATTATGTAATCTTTGGTGATAGTCCCCAGCTTTTGCCTAGTAGTCGTTGCATTGGTAGAACACGATGCACGCCAGTAGGTAACATGATAATATAACTTACCGATACGTTGTTTGAATAATTTTGGAGTCTTAAAACAGATATTAAAATTCCGTTGTAAAAAACTAAGCTTACATATTTCATTCAATAGGGTTTTGGATATATAAGGAAAGAGGATACAACATGTGTATACACCGAAAATAGATGGTAATGAATAAATAAATCTAAATTTTAATTTACTTTTGAAATATGTTAATAGTTCACGATATTCGAATTACTTTTCAAGTACGAGTATAGTATCGAAACTATTAAAAAAATTAAAAAAGACGTTAGTTAGTTTTTAGATTATTGTACATAATTACATTATTATTACTTATTGTTATTATTTATTTATAGCTAGTGATTGGATAGATGCACTGATAGACCGCTAGCAGATTTAAATGTATTCCCAAAAATGATTTTAAGTGAGTCATCGAAAATTTATATCTTCATAAAAAAAAAAAAATAGAACACAACATGCTACGTTTTAAAAGTCCTTTTCAATTATAGAAAAGCTTTTCATGTTAGTGTACAGTCCTGATTTTGCATTGTACAAAATATCGATTTTCAACATGTTAAATTCTTTAAATTCAATCTCGTTAAAAGCATTACTATTATTTTATGTTTTTTGATCTATCTATTCACTACAATACCGGGTTCAACGAATGCGGCTTGGCGTCTTG